TGCAAAATTTTTAACAGGTTTGATTTTATTTACATCACCAAGAGTTTTTCCATCACTTGTAGTAACAGAAACATAAAGGTGAAGCATTGTTGCTTGTAAGTCAGTAAAATCATCAGAGGCTTGTACTTGTATTTCGAAGCTTTTTCCACTATCAACACTTGATGTTGGACGATATTCGACTTCATATGATGATTCAATTGCAGTTTGAGTTGGAGGAATGTGAAAAATTTGAAGTTCTGTTTTGCTCACAGGAATCGATGATGAATGAAGATACTCCATTATTCAAAAATATCTCGTTTTTTCCTTCGTCTAGTAGTTTTTCGTTTCTTTGTCTTTTGTTTTTTAGTTTTCTTTCTAATAATCTTCCTTTTTGAAGTCTTACGTTTCTTTCTAGTTCGTCGAATCTTTTTATGAAAATGTAAACCTGAACCAGTCTGGTCAAACTCTTGACTAATTTCCATCAATCCTCTTTTTGCAGCAGTTCTTATACCTTCTTTACCTCTATTTAATAGTGATTGCTTTAAATTCTTATTATCAAGTATATCTTGTCCTACGTTTATCCCTGTTTTCAACAACTCCTTCCCGAAAAATTTTAAAACAGGAATACCGAATCGTTTGAAAATACTACCGATACCATAACCACGTTGATAAGGTTGTCCTCTGAATACATTGATGTCTTCAAATCCTTGACCTGCTTGTGCTTGATAATGACTAGTAAAATCACTATCACAACCGCAATAAACTTTTCTATGCATTTTTAAATTTTATTTTAATATTGAAAATTCTTTTCTTATACAAGTTCTCTCCTCTTGAAATGCAAACTCAAATGTGTACGCCCGTCAGTGAACTTTATTTCTTCTCCATTCTCATCAGCAAGTAAAATACTAATACTATTCAATTCGCGAACACGCACAGAATAATAAAAAGGTTTCGTTATTGACATGTATCCAATTTTATCGTACATTCCTTTCGTTATTGGCACTACCTTCAGGAGACGTGATTTACCATCCCCAACAAAATGATCGTGAATAATATCAGTGTAAACGAAAAGCAAATGAGAGCGAGTTCCTAATGTTGGTACACTATTTGCAGAACACAACAAATAGTTTCCGTCCAATACATCATTGTATTTATTTTGATAGTCAGCATAAGTGAAGCCAAGTCTTTTCACAAATTCTTTATTTAAAAACATTGGCATTATTGGACCAAATGGTGATGAACCTGTGTTGATATGCACTTTACCGTTTTTTAAATAGATTTGTGGAGCTTTGAGGTCTACTTCGAGTTCAGCAGTAACAATATCATCTTTTTTAATCAAATTTGTAAATTCAGTATTAAATTTATCAAATATACTGCTAATTTCGGAATCTTCTTCAAATGTTATGAAAGATTTTTTGCCCCCCATTTTTGTTTTCGAATCTTTGTGTCCATATATCAAACAGAATTTCACTACTAGTTTAGAATGATCATAAGTAATCGGATAAAAAATCTCTTGAACACCGACTACCCAATCTCCATCAAGGTGTATCGTCTGCGGAAGTTTGTTTGCAAATTTTGATAATGTATTATTAGGATACGTTTCCATTGATGCATTCGAGACAACATCAATGAAAAATTCTTTAGATTCGCTCAACATTTTCAACCCAACTATTGAACTTTGCAGGGTAACCAAGCCACTTTACTAAATATTCCCTTTTTCTCGTTCTAGGATTAATACGTTGTTTCAAAATTTTCTCAATTTTGAATACTTCAGGTTTTTTGGTTAGTTGTAGTTCCCAATGATAGAAAATTGAGGTGATGATTTCTCCAGCTAAATCTTCGATTCTATAAATATATCCTTGAGGAGTCTTTTTAGCTTTGATGATTTTGAAAACTTCTTCACTCCAGTTTGTTGTAGCACCTTTTTCAAAAATTCCTTTTGCGCGGGTTATTCTAACATAATCTCCAACTTTTAACGATTTTACATTGAATGAAATTGCTTGTTTGTGTGATTTTCTTATATTAAGTAAAATCTCTTTCTCATTATCGGGAGTCACTGAGGCAGGTGATGTGTTGATTGTTCGATGAAAAGAGTTGTTATAACCAATAACAATATCCTCCAATTTATCAATGTATCGATTAGTGTTCTTTGCAGACATAAAACGGTAAATTCTAGATCTTAATGTTCGATTGAATCTTTCTGCAATCGCACATTTTATTACATCATCAGTAGTTGTAAAGTGATTAATATCATGCGATTGTAAAAGATTTTTCAAAGTTGAATTGACAAATTCTTTGCCTTGATCAGTTTGCAGCTTCTCAGGTTTTCTTCCTTCAGCAAAAATTTTATTAAATGCATCAGTTACTGTTTTAGCACTTTTGTCCTTAACTGCAATAGCCCAGGCATAACGACTAAGGATGTCAATGACAACTAGAATATATTTGAATCCGTCGTTTTCTCGTGCCAACCACGTCATATCAAGAATATCTGCTTGCCACTGCTCATCTATATGATCAACAAGGATCGGTACTCGCAGGAAATTTTTTCTTCTTTGTTTAAATAATGTGTATGAATTTTGTTGGTTGAGCCAATTAGCTACTTGACTCAATTTCAAATTTGGTTCTTTTTTAACTGCGGCATTATAAAGCTTTTTGAGACCTCCGAAACTACCTTCAGATTTTGGATCAAAATAAATTGACTCTAAAAGCTCCTCGATAGTATCTCCCATGATGGATTTTTCTCTTTCTTTGTTAATGAGTCTTTGATGCTTTTATTCGCAATTAAATTAGCAATAGGTATTTCATGTTCTTTTATAACTTCAAGCACTCTTTTCATACCGACTGGTCTCTTTCTTGCTAATTTCTTAGAGAAGAATCCAACAATTTCATCAATGTCACTTCCAATTATTGGCTTATTTTTATCATTTAGAATCGCCCCATTTTCATCAATTAGAAAATCCATTGACCTTAAAATCAATTTTATTTCATTCATCCTTTCCACTTTTGGGCTTTTTGAGTTTCTGGTTTCCTTTGTCGTTTCTTCACGTACTTCCATATGGTCGAGTATGTTGTTTGGAATTTCAACTGCACTCTTTTCTGTAATTACATTTCCTACGCTACTTTGTAAAATTTTGTTTTGTGTTTCTGCTTTCAGCTGGTCAATTTCATTTGATAATGCAATTTTCATTGTATCAGGCAAATTTGAGTGAATTATCCTATCAGTCATATCAACTCTTTGATTCTTGAGTCGAAGGAATTCATCTTCAGGGATCAATACCAAACGAGTTACTGTATTCATTTCAGGAATTTTTCAACGAGTGTAGAGGCTAATAAGCTAATTATCGGTAATAAAAGCTTTGGTAAAAATCCACCTTTTTGAATCAAAATATATTTGTGTTTTCGATCAGTGTAATTATTGTTTGCCAATCGACGTAAATCATTCTTATAAAGATTAAGTAATCTTTTTTGAGGGTCACTAAGTTTGATTTTTCCGTTGACAATATTTCTTATAATCTCTCTTATGGATTTGAGCACTTTTCTGGGAGCAAGTTTGAAAAACTTCTTTCGGGCAACTTTACTGCGTGTTTTAGCTAATTTTTTTAGCCATGGAAGACAACGGGCACATGTTTTAACACTCATGATTATCAAAAGATGCACTTTATTTTACAAAGTTTCTTATATAATAAATCAAGGTTGATAAGAAATCATATATCCTTTTTCACCAAGAATGCTTGTTAATAGTCGTAGATTAGGTGGAGTGTTAGGTTTTAAGTCAATGAATAAATATGAAAAGGGCTCCTTAGTTGCATCTTCGAAAATTGCTTGAAATTTTTTAATCTTTGTAGGAAACATTTGTCGGGCAATATTTGTAGCAATAGATTGATCACGAGGGTTTTTGAACAAAACAATATATTGTGAGTTTAATGAAATGTTTCTGCTTTCTTTACCACGCATAAAAAAATTCTGAACTATTAATATTATTGATAAGTTTCTATGGTGAGATCCTTTAGTGAAGATCTCACTTATCACTTTTGAATTTGCTGTTTCAAGCATGAGGTCATCAATAATCAACCATTCAGGCTTACTACCGTCAAACATTTCCATGATATTTTCTGGTAATCCTGGCATAAATGTTGTTTTTTTGAATGTAGCGAAAATAGGTTGATACTCTCCATAACAATAAACAATTCGTTGAGGAGCTGGAAGACAGAATAAAGCATTATTTTCAATCAGTTTTTTTACCCAAACCGTTTTTCCTGATCCGGTTGGGCCTGAAACTAACATTGTGAAAGGATGTTTTAAATAAACTTGAAAAGACATTTTAAGATTTCAAAAAAAAAATTTATTAATTGTTGATGAATTGATTTCTTATACAATTGTTTGCATGAATTTCTTTGTGCAGTTACAAATATTGAATCTTCGAGATTGATACCATTTTTTCATCATAATAACAATATTTAGAGAACATTTGGTCTTTGGTTTCTTGAGAAGTAAATGTAAATGACAAGGATATTGTGTTCCATCGTCAATCTCTTTGCTTGTTCCGCCATAATCCAAAATGTTTATCCTCGGAATATCAAGCTCACGAAGTATTCTTTCAGCTTCAATAGACTTGCAAGCAACTAAAAATTTGTCACTGTTACGGGCACTCTGGTAAAATGTCTTGATCGTAGTCATCATCTCATCGATAGTTACTCCGTTCTTTTTAGTAGCACTCAAATCAAGTCCATGGTGTGTGTTTGATAAGTATATTGCACACTTTTGTTCATGAAGTGATAGTTTTTGAACTGATAACTCATTGTTAATTGATAAATGTAATAAACTTTTTTCATCAAGAATAGCAACTTCTCTTGGATAAAATACTGAAGAAGAATAAAAGCCTTGAACATCAAAATAAGCACAAATGTAGTCCATTTTGGAATCAACTTTGAAGTATGGAGAAATGAAATTTTCACTGCTTTATATACATTTTCACTTTGACTTGAACGCCCTCTGTTGTCTTGCGCAATTGAATACTTGAACTAAAAATCAACATTAAATCGAGTTATTAGTTGAGGTAAACACAATAACAAAGATTTGTATTCTTTATCATTCATAATTTCAATTGCATGATGGACATCTAATGAGTTTGTGTAAGTAACTCTATTCAAAAATTTATCCTTAGCAAAGTAATCGATGATGTCAAGTGGAGTCAAAACGTTATTGATTATTTTCTCTGCATGATGACGATAATTATCAACGATTCTCTTGATGAAGTTTTCATGATCAAAATCGGAAGCATCACGATTATCTTTGATTACACTGTAAATGTAAACATCAAATAGTTTATCAAGAAAATCATTGATTGTTTCCAAATTTCCTTTTTTCGCTTCCATAATTAAAATAAATGCTGGTAAAAACTTTCTCAATGCACAAACATTTGCTCGATTCAAAAGAAGGAGTTTTTCACTTTTTTGAACACGAATCTCATCATACGTTGGTCGAGATACCATTAAAGCACCGTATTTCACATCTTCTTGGCAATTATCAGCAGCAACTTCTTTGAAATAATTGTAGATGACTTTGAGTTCATTGGCAGCGACTACTACTCCGTTTTGTGTTGGGAAATTTTGAACATATCGACGTATGTTGAAGCGAGCACAAACGAAATCATTATCGGGCTTATAACCTAAACCTAACGATATTTTCAAACTAGAGTCAACAGCAATTGGTAAAATTGTTTTCCAAGTTAATGACATTATCTTGCTTTTCACTTGCATTAAAAGACCTGTAGAAAACAATAATGTACATGAAACTGACCTTTTCACAACACTATCACTTCTTTTTATACAATTTTGTTGCATCAAAAAAATTGCGCAGAATCGGTTCATTTGGCCAAGTTGCACCTGTTATTATAATGGAGCCACTATCGTAGCAAATTATACAGTTTTTACCCTCTTTCCAATATAAAGCAGGGAATAATTCAGGTTCATAAGAAGTATTTTTGTGATTTTTCAACATTTCATAAAAATTGAAGCGATATTGCATTTTATCTTGAGCAGTGATGTTTGAAATTTTTATAAAGTTTGGTTTTTGTTTGAAATTCGCAGCAAACGCATCATTTGTTTCCTTCAATGATTTGAAACCAGTTGCAACACATTTTCCTGATGCAAAAAGTAAAAAGCAGCCATTATTCAAGCGTTTAACTTCAGCATTGTAGTTTTTCTTTCGGTTTCCATTATTCACTTTTATTTTCATTACTTTGGCGAAATCCCAAACCGAGACTAAGTTTATAATTTTCATCCCGCTAACTTCAGCACTGATGAATAATTTTTACTGAGGGACATTAAATAAAAAGTCCAAAAAAGTGTAAATAGTAGAGCAACAAATAATAAAATTGTTATGTAAATCGGGGTCATCTTGACTCACTAATAACAAAAAACTAAATGAGATATTTTCTTTGAAGATTTCAATTTATATACGCGGACAAAAATAAACAAGAAAAGTGACGTTAAACATTTTTAATGACAAAAACATAAAACACAAGTATTAGGTTGATACAATACATCTTACAGCAGTGAAAATTGTTGCTTTACACCAAGGACATTTATTGAATTGAGGTGCACAATCATAACAAGTAATCATGTGCTCACATGGTTTAAAAACTACACTTATTTCAGCGGAAAAAGCAAATTTTACACTCATAACGTGATTTGTCATCATCGACTGGTTTTGCTGGTTCATAAGAAGAAACAGGTTGAATTCTAGCAACTTGTAAATTGATGAAGTTTTTGCCTCTTTTCAAATACACAAACATACAATCCGGAAAAAGATGTGCATGAATATTCCAAGGATCATCGTTTGGTAGCCAATTTGCTATTGTTCCAGCGCAATAGTAACATGTTACTGCATCATGTTCACCTAAATTTAAATAAGAAATAAAGACAAGTAAGTTAATATTTGGAATTTGACAAAATGTTCATTAGTATAAGAATTCAAGTTACCGTAAGAAAAGAAACCCGCTTCTGCATATTTTTCTGGGGTTATTTCTTTAATTACATGTCCATCATGACTTGCAAAAGTTGCAATCCGTGCATCCTTCGACTTCATGTCTGGAAAAGCCATTGCCATCCTTGAAAGATCAGAAAGTCGAACAAAGTTTGCTGTTCTTAGAAGTAAAAATTTATGGGTTGAGGCAGCCGCTGGAATTTTATGTTCAACACCAGATGGCAGTCCTTTTTCATATTCATCTCGCGTCCTTATTACTCGAAAGAACGCAGTCTCCTTATTGTAAAGATTTGCAAGTCTCTCTTCAAGTCTTGTTCGATATATTAAACGCTCAGTTTCTTCTGAACCTTCCTCAGTATCACGTTCATTGATGTCACTTTCACTTTCGCCTTCACTTTCCATTTCATTTACTAAAATTTCTCTGTTATTATCATTTGGTGTTGAATTTCTCACATTTTGATTAACAGGTTCCTCATATTCACTTGATTCAGTGTCACTTACTTCTTCTTCCTCCGCATCATCAGCTTGCTCAGCATCAAGAACTCTTTCCAGTGGGATGAATAATTGTATTTGATTATCTCGATCTAAAAGTGTTAATCCAAGTCCCCATTCTCGATTTCTTGTAATTCTACCTCTCATTGATTGGTTAGTCACTCTTTCTCTAATGTAAGTTCTCAAATGCCTTGTTAATGTATCTGACATTTCACCTGATGGTCCTCTTGTTGATTTTCAGTTTGCGCCTCTTGATGATTAGCAATTGCTTGCAGCACGTCATAGTTGAAATCTCAATCCATTCTCTCAACAGAGCTTGTCTATTGTACAATAAAACGTGTACTCTGTCATAATAATTATTCATTGGACTAGCCTCTAAAGCTTCACGTAAGACAATTCTGAATTGGTCAATTGCTCGCCTTTCCTCTTCACTCACAGTTGATTCACTCATTGTTGTATTCAAATTTCGAGATTTTCTTTACTGAAAATAACTTCGAAAGGTGATTGAATGAAGTTTTCAAGCAATTTTCTCGACTTTTATTCCATTGTAAAGTGGGTGGAGATGAGCAACTCCGCCTCAAAATAATCTTTTGAGTATCATTCAATGATTATGAGTTGATTTTAAGGTCTGCCTCTTTTAAAAATTGGCCAGTCAAAGTTGTTCACTAATTGATCATTGATTAATTGACTACTAAAAATAGAAAATTGTTTTTTTGTAACTTTTAATGCATAGAAAGCTGAAACACATAATAGTTATCAGTAATTTTATAATTGCCTTATTTCTTTGGAAATCATTATGATGGAATTTAAAACATTCACCTTAATTGATCTTCACATTCATCTTAATTCTCTTTCTCCTCTTTCGATTTCTCTTTCTTCTCTTTCCCAAAGAAGCTTTTTCTCCAAAAGTGTGCTAGCACACATTGACCTTCATCTTCACCTTCATCTTTAACTTGCTTCTCTTTCTCCTCTTTCTGTTCCTCTTTCTCAAGCAGCCGTCTCTGGAACAGTGTGCTAGCACAAGTTGACCTTTTTCCTGGAAAAAGGTCAAGTTGTGCTAGCACAGTGTGCCAGAGTGGGCTGCTTATAGTCTACTGTTATGAACATCTTCCAACCACTGACTGATCTAAAAATGTACGCATTTCATAACCTCATCTCTAAATCGATTCCAAGTCAAATAGCGGATTGACCTTGAATGATCTTTAGCGTTCCAACTTATGGTTCCTTAAATCTAAAATATTAGTGTTGGTAGAAATGTGAAGTGTGCAAATTCAATACAACTCTAGTTTTATTCATATTTGCAATCTTTTCTCACCCACAAGCGGCAGCTTGATAAGTAATGAGCGCTTTTTTCACCTGTTTGCAGCCCTTATTCAGGTACAGTTGATGTTTCGAATGATAATTTAGTTAATTAAATTAAATAATTCAATGTAATTGCAATTCACATTCAAAAACACGAAATCTACTTAAGGGTCACCCATTATTTTAAAACAGAAATTAATTCAATAAAATTTTATTCTCAAAAACCTGTAAATCATCTTGACCTGACATTTTTCTTATTCATCTAGATATATTAATACATAGACTTTTTAGATTCACTGTAATAATGACTCCTACTTGGCTAGAACGTACAGAATATAATTTTGTTATTCATGGACTTAACACATTAGATAAAACTTTTCTCGAAAAGGAATTTTTCTTCGAAATTTTACCTCACCATAATCAAAGGCTACTTTCATGGTTGAACATTCTGTTGATTCACGGCAAAAGTAAATAAGCAATAACTTGCTAACCAGATAGTTATAATGTAATTATGAGGTTGCCTTTGATATCCAGCCGAAAGGATGAAAAAAACTTAATCATCAACTTCATCTGTGAACCAGAAAGAGGTTAAACGAAAGAGAGAAAGAGATTGAGAAGCAAAGAGAAAGCAAAATTACAAACTCATCAAAGAAGAATTGTTATCTCATTTTGATCCCGGATTAATTCGTATAAATCCTGGTAAGATTAACTGGGCCAATATTCATTTCATTAGAATCTTTTACTCTTTTTTTTCTAGGTGTGATTCTCTTTGTGGCAAGCAAAGATGAAAAACCTTTTCCTCTCATCACCTAACATCATCATCCCCATCATAATCATCATCATCATCCTTTATCTTCATCTTGCTTCATCGTTTACTTGTGAACCAAGGCAAAAAAAGAACATGAAGAAAAAGAATAAAAAGACGAAGAAAAAAAAATAAATAACAAAACTGAGGATCTAAAAGCTAAGCAAAAAAATTGCTAGCGGCTGAACTATGATGACTTATGGCATCTTTCATTCTAACGCAATGAACCTAATCTTTTATATACAATAATAATATGTATAATAATAATAAGCAAGTACATACAGCAAACACACATTATACCAATTCTTGGTAAATGTGTTTACCTTCAATTTTTTCCTGTTAATAAAACTCGATGTTATCTAATATTCTGATTCAAGCTTGGAATCCAGATTTTTCTGTGTGCACAACTGATAATGTGTAATATTATCGATATAAGAGGCAACAACAAATCTTTATCACATCAAATTTTCAAGATGCTTTATTAGATTTGACCATTTATTGGGTGAAACAAACTCAAAGTGTCTTATCATCATAATTGCACTTGCACATAAATAATAATATTGATACATTGTATACAAACTAGAAAAGACTGTAAATCTTTTTTCATTGCCATGTAGCCGTCATTACAACTTGCAGAATCTTTTGCATGTTGTTGGTCATTTTGTCGTCGTGATTAGTGATTTGCTTTTTCAACTTTTGCTGAGTTTTCTGTTTCAACTAATCTGTTGATTGTGCTTTGGAATGACCTCTATCTCTTTTTGGTTGGTGGCTACGATTCAACTTGATTGGTGGAATGTGAATGATTTGTACATCTATAATGAAAAATGTCAAAATATATCATGAAACCTGATGAACCGAAAGATTGAATTGTTTGTACAATTTGCCCTTTGTCATCTCGATGGTTCATCTTTTGGCTTTACGAAGATTAATATTTTTATCAGTTCAACTCTTTATCATCTCAACAGTTTTGCTGGATCCTTTTTTTCTTCTTCTTCACTCTTTACGCTTCACTATGAACCATGAACTGGTAAAGTAAAAGATCAGAAAAGTTGAAAGATATTTGCCTTCATGGAAGAATTCAAAGAATTCTTAATAACACACTTTTTACTCCCATGATTTGCACCTTTTATGGTTTTATCAATTTCACCAGACAAAATGATAAAGTTTCATCATCTTTTTTTGTTAACGTCAACATGAATATTAGGACGTTAAAATGAATACATTTAAAAATGTTGAGATAAATGTGCAAAACTCGAGGGATGGAAAGAATGAGAGACGATCTAAAAGATTTTGCATACTCACCGAATCGTTCTAAGTTATTCAATGACAGAATTCGTCTGCTGATTCATTTTCCCCAAAAGTCCTAAAATTAAACTGATAGTTCAGCATATATTGACGATAAATAAAAAAAATCAATCCGAGAACAAAAAATTCATCCTATTTTCGTTATGATTTATCATGATTAATTTAGCTTTTTAAGTGTATTCTAACCAAATTTGAAATAAAAGTTCGAATATTTCTTTCTAACTGTTAGGAATCGAAACAGACTTTTAACACTTCCTATCGCACTAACAATTTTCAATGTTTTCAATGAAATTTCTGTGCATTTCCATACTCCAACTTTGACAAAGTTTTTGATCATGATTAGCTAAAGAGGTTACACCACCTAAGACTTCAGTCAACTTAACTTATCCAAGATTATTTCATTCAAAAAAGTTAACTTCCAGTAAAAGTTCTGTGTCGTTAGCTTTCGGCCACAATAACTCTCTGACGTTGAAACGCTTTTTCTTAATCCCTGCACGCTAAACATACAAATTGATATGAGCACTGCTTAATTTTTGCGTCCTTTACCTTGCAGAAAATCCTTCGTTGCAAATCGTGTTTGCAGTATAAGAATCAAGTCTCAACCTTACGAAAATTAACACCAAAAATATCAGAATTAAGTAAGATGATTTGCATAAAATGGGCATAAATTATAAACACGAAATTGTACAAACTGCTATTGCATTAAAGTAACTGTTGATCGAATTTGAAATTCCGGAACTCAGTTACATTTTCGCTTTGTTTTATAGAAATCTTTCTGCTTCTGTTCTGTATCATGAAAACAGAATTTCGGCAAAAGTTTCAAAATCTAAAACAAATAAAAGATTAAAATTAAATCGAAAATTTACTTTAAAGTGGTGAAATTGAACATCTAATCCTGGAAAATGGACAAAGACGAAGATTCAAAGCTTTGATTTCTGTACAAGTTACAGTATCAGCTATTAGAAAGCACATTAACTCGAGACTATTAAAGGTCGGCTTAGCTTTGAAAAGATTTAAATTGGTTCCAATAATGTTAAACTCGAGAGTAAAGTTAGCAAAAAGGAAAAATGAAGCAAGAGTAAATTCCAATGGAAAATTCATTTTCACTTTCAGATTATAATGTGCTACAAGAAACAAGATTTCACTATTAACCTTTAATCGATTGTTCAACTTGAGAATCAAAAATTGAATCATTTTGCTTGATGAACAGTTCCGAGTAAAAGTTGAACAAAAAAGTAAACAAATTGTTAACATTAAAGCTAATTGTTAAACAGTTAATCGTTTGTAATGAATTTTTGGTGTTGAGAAGGAAAACAAATAGTTGATAAAGGTTACATAGTTGATCATGCTTTATCAAGATGATCATCAGTTTATCAATGAAGGGAAAGAGTTGAAAGTTAATTCATTGAAAAGTGATTGTTAAAGAAAACAAAAATTGATTCCATTGTACCATATGATTAGAGTCAATTAGGCGATGAAATTTAAACTCATCAAGTTGAACATCAACATGAAGGTTGATGATGAGCAAACAGGAATCAAGATTGTTTCAAGATTCTTACAGGGATTGGCCTTGTTTTACTTTTCACCAAAAATGTTGTTCAGTTGAGAAGAGGAGAGAATGACTGAGCGTAATATCATGAGAAAATGTTGAGGAAAGTTGAAGGAACCAGAGAAAAGAGTGGAATAAGATTTTGCGGATTTAGACAGTAAACGTGATTAGAATTGTTGCCGGAAGAAAATATTATTTTTCTTCTTGTATTGTCAAGGGAATTTGATATGAGCTAGTTGATAAGTCCGTTTAA